CATAGTTACGAATGTTCTAGTGCCTATTTTAAAAGATTTATTCGCTACATCCACTTGTACCCAGAAATGTTTGTTGCGACCTGCAGCTTTCAACGAAATCGAGTAATCACCTGGCTGAAACACATCTGATGAGTTAGTGAAATTCATGCCATCAACTAGTATGTTTGTTTAAATTTTTTTAAAATGAAAGGCAGACAAAAAGTGACAGAATGGATACTACAGGTATCAAAGCTTTTTAGCTCGAAATTCTCGCCAAGAATTGTTAACTGCCCAACTGGTAAGCTTTCACCACCTCTTCCTCATATGCAACGGTTTCTTTATCCAAGGAAAAGTTCCAGTATATTCACATGACTCTTCAAAAAATAAAAAGTTTACTTACATTGCTTTCGCTGTCTCTGACCAAGTAGTCACCATCGACACCACGAGCATTCAGTAAGGCATCAGTTTCGTCACGTGTCAATCTTCCATAATACCACGGCTGATTTGCATAAGGACCAGTAAGTCGAGAACTGCTGCAATAAGTTTAGATTAACTTTTTTCAACTTCCTGTCAAAATATCTGTCAAAAAACTGAATCATTTAAATCAAAATAAGAAAATAGCAGACTCATATCACCAAGCATATTTCAAAAAAAAGCTCACAAGGTTTTATGGTTTTATATCAAACTTTATAAATTATTACTAAATTTTTAAGTTTTACATGTTATAAAATGATTCATTTTAATATGTTTATGAATTAAACAAATAACAAGGCATTCTAGTTTTCAGTGTGCAAAAATGTTGCGACTCTAAAAGTTAAAATGTAAATTCATGAAACAGAAAAATCAAAATGTCTTTGAAAAATTATGTAAGATGTAATGGAAAACAGTGAAAACGCATGAAAACTTTCCTACTCCATTTTTTTGCCTTCTTATTTTATAGTTGGACTTATTTTTGAAGGACAAATTCCATTTATTATTCTTTTTTGCTTATATGTTTCTTCCGCTCTGAAACTAACCTGCCATTTCTAATTGTTGGAGTAATTCCATTATTACTGGATGATGCTTTCAATCTCCGCTCTGATGTGGATGAAACAAAATGATTTGCATTTGGATCCGGATTCGAATCCACTACCTAGAATAAAAACATCCAACTGCTACAATCTCGGAAGATGAACACCAAATGCAATAAGTAACAAAGCAATTGATTAAAACGAACGTTAATCAGCTAACCTCAATATAATTTGTTGGCACAAGCCCTGTACAGCCCTTTTCGTTTCGAGCTTTCCACCATTCCGGATCATGCGCTGGATGATCAATGATTTCCAAGCGCTCCCCTAAAAATTTTAAAGCAAATTTCTTCAAAAACTTCTTAAAAAAGTTGCAGAATCCTGATCTTTTACCAAAAAATTTGCCGAATGATGACGGTAATATGCTATTGTTTACAAAAGAATATTAAGTAAGATGTAACTGATAACAAAATCTAACTTTCAAATAAATTAAAGGAATCGATGAAATTCATTCATACTTCAAAATATCAGTTAATTCCGAGGCTCTAATATTATACAAATACTACAAACATTTATTTGTCTGTTACTTAATTTTTTTTGACATTACAATTACTAAATTTGACAAGTATATGCTAATGTGCTTGTCAAGGTAAATAACAAATCAAACTGAATAATTTTTACTTTAGTGCAAATTACTACGACATATACATTTTACTACTTACCTTTGTAGAATGATAATTCTTCTGCATTTTGGGCTTCGAATGAATACAATGCAACGACTACTTCAATCACCCTTTGCAAAGGCAATATGATGTGTCCATTGTGGAGCTACAAAACAATTCTTCACCGTTTGAAGCACTTCAATATCTAATATCCATTCTGCTACAAAGATATTATCAACTACCAAATCGAATTTATTCCCTACAGAGAAGAAAGAAAAGAAGATTTGAACCTTGTTGAAACCATTCCCCATTTCGACATTACTTTTTGGAGTCGAAAAAGTATTTGAAGGAGATTCGTCAATATAATTTGAAGGAAACCATCCCATTTGTTCTCGGCACTGAAATGAAATATCTCTCTTAATTCCTGGAAGCACACTTTTTCACATGCACTGGCAATTCTTTTTCTCGCCATGCTATAAGATTCTCGAGAAAATTATGATCGGTAGAAAGACATTTTCCCATCTTAAACTACATATAATAAAAGATAAAACAATATTCAAAATTCTTTTCTACATTATCGCTTAAAAATGATAATGCAAAAAACAAAGTTTTTTGCATTATCAATTACATTGTTCGAAACAGTGATACACTGAATGGCACAGCACATATACAGCTCCATCAAAAAAAATAATGTATAGGTCGCTCCAGTAAAATTTCAAAAAAAAAATCGGAGACTTAGCTACAACTCATTTATTAAATGGTATTCAATGTGAACTATTAATTACCTTTCCTTTCCACCAACCGTCGGAGCTTTTCTCAAGAACGGTAACAACATCACCTTTGCATAACCTCAATTCATCTTCTCGTTGTGGCTCATAGGAATATTTTGCAACGGCTTGTGACATCACTCCACCGACCTAAATAAAAATTTATTTTTTAGAAAGTAAATACTTATATGTGAAGAGAAATATAAAAGTATTCTCCCTCTTTCTATAGTATTCTAGAAAATTCACACTGAAAAAATCTAATGAACAGGGACATTTCTTTTCTGAGCTGCTATAAAATTCCATCCTACCACCACCTGAACTTCAAAACTTCTTGCCAACTTCCATCGCAATTTCGATTACTCACAGAATATCAAAAAAAAAAAACTGTGATCAAGACAGGGATTCCAAAAAACAATTAATACTTTAACTGATCTGCTGAAACCATTTTCGAAACTACTATTTCCAGAAACAGCGGCTAATGCTGGACGATTAATAATAAGCTCTGAGGATGAAGCCTGTAATAAAATTTAAGTAATTATGACAGCTCCGAATTATTTGTCATAAAAATCACTATTAAGACAGGTCATTGAATGACGCAAACCACTGCAAATATCAAAAATTTCTACAATATCTCGGGGTGCAACATGCTGGACAAAAATATAGAGATAAAATAAAATTTTGAACTACATTATTTTTCATCAAACAAAAGCAGAATATACACCAATAACTTTACAAAGGTTAATCTTTCAAAATATATAACGATATAGCCAAATGAACAAAAACATGTCAAAATGAAACGTGCATCAGATCAACAAAACTTTTGGTATTTTTTGAAGCCAAATTATATATTTACTAAACGACAATCACTACTTGATTGAAATCAGCTGTTTTGCTTTTCAATCTCGTCTTGCCAAATCCCTTAATTGTTCCTTTTGCTTTTTCTACAAAAGATTCTTTGCGAACATAATTCGATGGAACAAAACCAATTACGCCTTCTTCATTCACAACCTGCAAGTATTATATTTATGTTATTATTTTCACACAGATGTAAAATGACTGCATTATTTTAATTACAATGATTAAACTGCCTAATAACACATTCAGATTATTCATTTCGAAATATTACCCGATTAATACAGGCTAAGAGTTATAACAATAAATAGAAATTGTTATGATTAGAAAAACTGACCCGCAATTTACCCGACTGCAAACCATATAAACCATTTTTACCAAAAGTTTTTGTGTCAAGTGATAAAACATTCCACCAGTAAATAAATAGATTCTATACAAATTTGTAGAAAGCGAAATCAGAGATGGGAAAGCGATTAACAAAAGAAAAAGTATACATAACTGAATTTTTTTATTATCAAAACTATAAATGAATGCATCACATAGTAGCGAATATAGCAAACAAGAGAGCATATTAGTTACAACCTATTAGTCTATAGTTAAAATATTTTATAGATAATAGAGGAAATAATCAATGATTAGCAATTTTTTTTTTTTTAAAAAAATGGTGTATTTTTTGAAATATGAGTGAGTGATTGTGGAAAACAGCAAATGAAAAAAAATTAATGGGATAGAAATGAGCAAAGGAAAAGCTTCTTCCGGCTAAAACTGCATCATAAGAACAGAAAAAGTATTTTTTCTTTTTTTAGTCATTTATTATATCTAAATATGGCATATAAAAATGTGAGCTACTGATGACACTCGAGTTTCCATTGGTCGAATTTTACTGACCACTGTATGTTGGAAAATATTCCAATCTTTTTAAAGAGTAAAACCACAGCTACAAATAACAATAACTTACTTTCCACCAATTTTTGGTATCATCGATCAGTTTCAGTCTTTCGTTCTTTTTAATGGTAAGTTCGCCTTCCTCTTGTGCATTGTAATCATATTTAACAACAACGAAAACATCATCGCTCATCGTTTCCGTTATCTTTTCGTAGTACTGTTAGCACGATTATTTTCTAACTGGATTCAAACAGCACTTCCAAAGCAATTAATCCTTTTAAACAAGTGTAGTAATGTACGTTTTTCCCTTTCTCTATACCTGCAGTGAAGTTTCAATTTAAGATGAAATCAATTAAATATTTACAAACAAGGAGTCAATATGCAGTCATAGCAATTGGCGAATATAAAATATGTGACAGCAAATAAATTTATGCAAACTAACAAATAAAGGAACAACAGGTTAAAAAGAATTACCACTGTCAAGAGATGTAAACGTAAAGTAGCGTTAAATGTAAACAAATCGAATAGGTTATTTAAAAAAAATGAAACAACATTTGAAGGAATTAACGCTTTTTCTAGTAACTTCAAAAATTATTGAAAAAATTGCACTTACGAGGCAATAAAACTTTTAATAAGGATTGATAAAAAGTAATTACATTTGATTTAAGAAACGAAAATGATTATAACGATTTTCAATCAACGATGTTTCATGCAACTTATAATCCATTAGATGATCAATCAAGTTTTTTCGAAATGTTAATACTGAGCATACAAACTACAAAAACAACTGAAACTGCATGTATTTGTTTAAGTAATAACAGACAAATGAACGGTATCTGTATCTCACAAGAATCGTTTCCCTTTTAAATTACACTTTACTATTCAAATGCCAAATTGCTAAAGCCAAGAGTGAAGCTAAATCTTCTAAAAGACAAGAAATCCAGGACAGCTTAAAGTAAATTTCATCGTCAGACTTGGATTGATTTATTTGCAGTAAATAGGCCATCGAATATTTACTATACTTGTTAAAATTTTCAATATCTATCGCGAAAACCAAACATTACACATGAGTTTGGAAAAAATGAAAAATACCCAGTTGGAGACCGGAACGTTAAGTCCAGCAAATAGAATCTCTTTCCGTTCCCTTTCCAGTCGGTTCGAAGAAAAACAGACATTCGCAAAATGTCGCGCCATGCAAAAGTAACGTGCCTTTTATTTTATAGCAGGCTAGAAATGCATTTCATCAACCCATGCCATCCAAGAATTCAGAATTCTAAAGTTTACAAAAACCTTCTCTGAACAATTATGACCATAATCAAATTTATCGTCTAAGAAAGAAATATCATTTATCGTCCTCAGTTGAAATGAACTGTCGATTTAACGCAGACATATAAATGCAGATATCATTTCATCAATCAGCAATTACAGTGTGATATTAAATTTGAATCAGAATTGATAAAAAATTTTTAGCATGATGTACTGGAAAAAAATAGACGTGAAATTGAAAACAATAATTGTAACAAAAAAAAAGTGAACTAAAAATGTTTATTGAAAAGATATGGTAATATGCGGAAAAGATATCTTTTTCAAATATTAAACGAGTTATTTGCCTGCCAAAATATGAAATACATATGACCTTGAGGACAAACTTGAACGTTCTTGGAGAATAAAATTCTTCATCAGTTCTTTTACATTCTTTTTGCTATTCAATTGAAATTTTTATCAGCACGAAAATCTCGAAATGCTCTATATCTAATCTCTTCCGATAATATCTCACCGATAGTTTCGTCATTTTTAATTAAACTGGTCTTTTTTTTTTGTTAAAGCAAGAGGATGACATCGTATTCCATCTATAATGATAAGAGTTTCAATCTTATTTTGTTTTATATGCTATACTGTGAAATATAATCACTTTACGCTTTAGTCTGTTATCAACCAATGGACGAATGAATGAGTGATGAATTACCACGAAAAAACAATCAATAATTATTCCGAATAAAGTTGACGAAAATAATTGAAAAATTCCGAAGGACAAACTAATTACCACTTGATTGAGAGGACGTGCTTGGAATAATAAATCAAAAATTAGCAAAATTTTTGATTTACTACTCCAAGCAGTCCTTTTTTTTGGTTTTTCTAGTCATAGATCTTCATTTGATGCATTTTTTTATTTTGTTTGAAAAGAAAAGAACACAGGGAGAGAGACACGGAACACAAAGAGAGAGAGAGAGAGAGAGAGAGAGAGCGAGGGAAAGAGAAAATTAAGAGAAGAAATAAATTTTCTAAAGAGATTAAAATGGATCAAAATAGCATCATTAGAAATCCATCAGAGAGAAAGAATTCATTGTTCGAAAATTTCAACTTAACATTGATGGCATGGAATAGAAGGAGAAGAAAAGCCTTTTTCCATTCCACTTTTTCCCCAGCACTAACTTTCTTTTCTTAATCTTCTAAATATGATAGATATAATTTTGTCAAGCGAGACTACGAATGCAAAAAAGGGAGAGAAAACAATGGAACGATACCGCACCGCAAATCCGAGAGAGGCGATGAAGAGGAAAAATGTGGGCGGATATCGGTTTTGATAATGCTTAGCGAACCAAAGAATAAATAGATCAGCACTGCTCAATACAAACACAGTACACAAGTACATATAACTTGTAATGGGAAACTTTTGTGAATTTCCAAAATGCTGAATAGAATGTATACGAAAAGTAAAGATGTGCCAACTGACCAATTGGCTAACAGTTCTAGGCTTTTAACGTCTCAATGATATCTGAACAGAATTACCAAATGTTGCTTGGGTTTTTCCTTCTTTAATATTTTACCAAATAGCTTTTCTTCTAATCTTTAAAAATTAAACAGTAAATAGATCAATGCAAAAAAATCTATCCGAACATCACATTTCGAACAAATACTTTCGGAGAAAAATAAATTCAGAGGAAAAGAAGCAATCCAAACTCAATTTCTGAAATTGATTCGGTGCTAAAAGATGATCATTATTCAGCTTTATTTAGCATAAAAAAATAGCTGACTAAAATTTTAAAACTATGGAGATATTTAAAAAGCATTTGAAACTATCAAGTATTGTTATTGATATGGAATATGTAACTGTGATCACTGTCTATTACCTGTTACCTGCTAAAAAGTTAATTAATTGATACACGTTTAATTTAGAAATCAGAATTGGAAATTATGAATAAAACTTTTAAATGATTGGTCGTAATATCAAAAAAAGTGAGATTTAATCCTAAAAATTGCTCGATAAACATATTTATTTACACTATGCAATACATTGAAAATGTAGCATAATATATGGATAAGAAGAATGAATTAAATAGCATTTGACAATCTCCTGGGACTTTCAAACTCTTCGTCATCGCTTTATGTGATTGGCCCAAGGACATTATATAGTATCAACAATAGCTACAACAGATGGTGTTGGATGATGGAAGGTTACAACGTGTTCTCCAACGTGCCCTCGCTCCTTCAATGTGCTCAAATGCGTGTCAATATAAAATCAACAACAGCAGCTGCTAAAAAAGCAACATCTTTAATCTAAGGTTCTTTTACTTAAATTCTAACCCCATTCATTTTTACATCGGTAAAATTTGACTAATGAAGAAATATCTTTAAAAACAGACATTTATTTCATTTTACATCAAATAATAAAATCTACATGAAAATTAATAATAAAGAAGCATTCGTTGTATCAAATGTTAATTTATATAACTTATAAATTATACCTATTTGTTTATTGATTTTTACGATAGAATTCGATATAACGAATATTTCTCTATTATTAACTTTCAAAAAGTAGTGAAGTTTCAGGGAATTCCTAATGAAATTCCACTGTGATATAAGTATATATCATGATGATATATACATATATGGAAAAATTTTGACAATGAAGAAAATATGTGAAATGACTTTATATGGCAAATGAACATCAGAAACGAATATAATCTTCAGTGACATCGTTAGGACGTCGAACGAAAGCAATGTGGAGAATACAACGTTAACCTGCACTACTCCAACAGTAGTCATGAATGAGGGGATTTAAAATTTAAAATTAGAGGGGAAATGACTGCTGCTGCTGTTGCTATCACTAGTTTGTGTAATAAATTAGAAGGAAAGATCAGAAGACGAAGAATACACAGAAAGTCCTAGTGACCTAGAAGTGCTGTTATAATAAATTCAAACATTTTATAGCTAGTAATGATTAAAAAAATGAAAATTCAAAAATTGGAAAGATCGCAAGGTATATTATTGCTTAACTTTGCATTTTAACATTCTTCTAAAGCAATAAAACATGCTGCCTTAAAAATTGATTTTTCATAATAATTATATCTGTTATTAAGAAACTTATATAAAGTTAATAGCGATGTAAAAACTTCACTGAAAAATTTTGTATTTTTTATCTCGATATCAACAATAACAGCATCAGTATCAAATAAAAACAGATATTAGGAAATGATAAGTTGTCAGGTAAGTTAATTTCGATAATTGTAATTGGCATATTACGAACATTACCGACTAATGAGTAAAATAACGTATTCTATTTAAATCACTCATCTATCATTGTCATATTTGAAACATAAACACTAACTCCTTTAAGTCTGCTCTTTTAGATTAGTTTCTTTAGGTTTGCTCTATTTTTAAACACATTTCATAGTTATGGCTGTCATTTAGAGATTAATTTGTCGCATTTTCCTCATTTTCAAATTGAAGAATGAAGAGAGAAAGAGAGAGAAAGAACAGTAATTACAATATTACTGAAGCTATTTTTATCATCCTTCAAAATTGCAAACAATATTAGGGAAAGTATCATCGAAAAGATGAAAAAGTAGTCATTTGATAGAGTGAAAAATGGGTTTCTGTAGAGGAGTAAAGTGATCAATCAACCATTCACTGTACCCAATCCGATCATCAATGCCATTGTCATTGCGATCAGTAAGAGAATAAGTAATGGAATGTAAGAACGAATCGATCTGCACATCTGCATATCATATCATATCATCTTCATATAATTATATTAAAGAAGCTTGTAAATGAGCCTTTCTTCTTATGGGAATTAATTTGTACGGCAGGAAAGTCTGAGAGTTTATCGATTTGATTATTTCATTAAATTAAGAATCCGTAGTTGAAGAGATAATAACTCCTTTTAATCCAGCCATGCTGAAAATTGACATC